GTGAAATAACACTTTTAGAGGACGCTATGAAGTATACTTTTAAGTATTAATATTAGCTAATAATAATAATAATTTTATTATTACTAATATTAGTATATTTTTTTTGAAAAAATGGCAATGCCGGAGTCATTTCTTTTATTGGATTTCGAGAAAAAATGTGTTTGATATTTGAAGCAGTAGTATGCCTCCAACCAAGTCTGGACAGAAAATCAATTCTCCCAGACCCACCATCATCTATATATAACTTACACTTACACTTATGTTGTAAGGCGTATATTACTTGACTTGAGACATGCCCGTCTTTTATTATACTGGTCTGAACTAGTCTGTTCGTCCTTCTGTCCATGCGTCGGTCGTGGCAATTTTCGCGATATTTAAATGACATTTTGTACAACGCCATGTTTTGCCCCAAGGAAGAAAGCTATTGAAAATGATTCGGATCGGACCTCGTCCACTGTAAGACCTTATTTTGAAAAGTCATTTTAACTGTATTAAGGGAAAAGGTGCAGGCTGTTTAATGGCGAGCCGGGCCCATCTATGCTTATTTTATACTATTCTTGGTTATTTGAGGAATTACTTAAGCCAAGAAAAAATAAGTTTGGTTTTCTGACAAATCTGGAATAATATTACCCTTTAAAGACTTTGTATATGATAACATCTTTAATAAATATGACGTTAGAGTTTATTCATTCCGACGAAAAGTACATTGAGTTAATGTTAAATCCTTAGCTCAATTCTAGGCGTGTTCGTATTACATTTTTACTAACACGAAAATGCTCGCAAGACTCCTATATATAAATAAGAATCAAGAAATTATTTTAAAAAATGACTTCAAAGAATTATTTCTTTGGCAACAACAATAGCTTTTCTCTATTACACTATATATTACAAATAGACGGTTGTATCGCTAAAGCAGACTTTATTATTCCTCGCAGATTGCTTTGGGTTGTTATGAAACGCGGAGAGATAAATTGGGACTAAAACGATTATGTATTCCTAAGGATCGGCCTGCTTACGTGGGAAGATTTCATTGTCGAATGTACGTCAAACGTACATAACTAACTCTCATTACGTTTTTATAATTGATGAACTAACTGTAGTATTGATTTTGAAGAGAAGCAAATAAAGAAAGAAAACAGAATAGATAAACCCCCCAAGCAAAATGTAGCGGAAACAATCTCTCTTTCTATATAAATGTTTCATTGATTACAATTGATTACAATGTAATTGAAACTAATAATAGGAACGATACGTACGATATGCACGTAAATAAGAATTTCGTGGATGGGTAATAAATTTCTGTCATTCTTAATGCGCGTTAGTCATGCAAAATGACTGATGGATCGCAATAACAGCGTGAATATTGCAGAGCTTATCGCTTAAGTCTGAAATTAATTATTTGCATTAACTTATTTTCTTATAGGTCTATAGATAATTTCTTAAAAATCTTTTCTCTCAAATACTTTGCCTACAGACGTTTGTAAGACGTTTACGCTGAGAATATCGTCAGTAGCTCCGTCAAAGGGTTTCCCTTGGAATCATTGGCATTTATATTACATCCAAAAGTACTCCATGGTTAATTCCGATCTGTAAACATATAGTTTTTATTTGCATGTCTCTTGTATTTCATCTCATTCATAGATCGTTACGAGAATTTAATTTTCTTTTTTTATTTTTGAAGCAAACAAATTCATTTTTTTTATGTCACCAATATTGGTTACAATGTATTTTACTTTCCTCCGTTTTTTTTTTTTTTTAAGTCCTTTATATCTCCAAGTCTCTACTGGAACGCCACTGCAACGAACAGATGTATAACCTTATACTCGCAACACCTTTTACACTCAATCAGTGTATGATGTATAACGAATATATACATCCTACATATCCGTCCATCTGTCCTTGTCCTTGTGTTTGCGATAATAATGTATTTCAGAATTTGTCAAGAATTTGTCATTAAAATCTAATATACGATTATATGCGCTGGCGAGGAGTATACGAGTATAACGCTAAAGAAGTCATCATAGTTAACTGTTTTCGTGCGGTCTTGTACATTTTAATTATATTACGTCCTTCAATCACAGTGCAAGTAGTACAGATTAACGAATTAGGGAAAATGTCTGTCCATTTTCTCTGGTCCACTCTATTCCGGATTTACTTTTAACAATCGCGGTCTCCTGTATTTAATACGATTCACACCTGTCAAAGGATTTTAAGCTCGCATGTCTTACTCACTTCAGCCTTGGTCGAATAAGAGAATACAGCAAAACGGAAATCAATTTTTGTTATCCTCCGTCATTCTAATCCGCTTTGGCAATCATTCTTGACGAATCAGGCGCTTCAAATGCTAGCAACAGTTTCATATCAGTCAATCACAGTATGCCACGGAACACACTTTTAAAACTTTGTAACCGAATTCAACAGGTGGGAGCAAAATCACTACAACTTTTTTAAAGTAAGGAAAATGCAATGCAATGCAAAGTGAGGGAAAAACTCCTATTTTCTGTAGAGAAAGGTCAAACGGATCGAATTGAAGTATATTGACAATTCGCATTACTTCATAATTTTCACCAATAGATGTCGATGGTCAAAATACCTGTAAACTGCTATAACATAAACCATAGTTTTAGTATAACAAAGTTTTTTTTAAACTCCTCTTCAGTTGCTAGAACTGCCGCAAAATCATGCCTTATGTTAATCAGTCTTTCGTAACATCTGTGCTGCATGTTATTGTTGCATTCAAACTCTTAATATCTATTATGTAACTACATTATTACTTGTTCGCTGAATCGTTAATGATATTCTCATAGAATGTTGTGAAAAAAACATTTTATTTGGTAAACTTCTTTGTTTTTCCAGTACACGTCTCCAATCTTCTCCATTTTTTTTTTTTTACATTTATAATTCCTGCAGGAAATGGCCTCAAAAGTGAAATGGACAAGCGAAAACAACGATTACAATGAAACGCCAAGTGTCAACACCACACCAAGCACATAAACATAAATAAATATAAACCCGATCATACCATAGCATAGCGTGCACCGACACTCAAATAGCTGTTACAACGAAAGCGGCAATAATGCTTTTTTTGTTGCTTTTTCCTCTTTTTTCTTTTTTTTTTTTTTTTTGTTTATTTTGCTGTACAATATAGTGCTGTGGGTTTGTTTGATGCTTAAATATCTCTTTGTGTGTGCATATAAGTATTTATATGCACGTACCTATATAATGATAAAAAGTATGCATATACTTTGAGTAGCGAGCATGTATGTATGTATATGTACATGTTAAAAATATATATTTAAAACTTTTTGTTGTTTTTATATTTCGTTTGAATGTGTTGTCATTTTAATTTCACGCCCCAGACACATTTAATATACAAATGTACAAACAACCGCATACAAGTGCAGTAACGTTTATGTGTATTGTGTTCCCGTTTTTTTTTTTTTTTTTGTTATTTTTTCTTTAATTTTTTTTTATAAATCTTTTGGTTTCACTCACTCTCGCATAGTCTGACCGGAGATACGGTGTCAGAGACTAACCATCACCAATGCCGCGTCTGAAAAAGCAACACTCAAATCACAACTCATAGCGTTTTCTTCTTAGATTTACTTTACGCTTACTATCAGCGCAGGTTCAACTTTGGTCTAAAGTAGAAAAAGTTGAGTACGGCTGATCTAAAAGTACAAATATCAACTCTTATGTACATGTACGAGTATGTAAACAATATATATATGATATGAATGAGTGTATGTATGTATGTATGTGTGTGAACATTTGCAGATCTGTTGGTAAACTCGTTATGCTATAAAATAAATAAAAGAATTAACAACAGTGTAAAGGATTTAATTGGAAAATGTAAATAAGCTTTTGCGCGCTGTATTGTTGTTTAAATGCAAATCCATGTAAAAATTTTTTATATACGTACGCTGATACGAAATTTTACATATTTATAAACATATCTATGTATTGGCGAATTTGTATATATAAAAAAATATTTCATTCTTTTTATATTCAAGCCCGTAAGAAAAATAAACTTCTGATAAACACTCATTTTATTTGCAAAATCTATATAAATATAATATACAGGGTGCTCAAAAAGGCCTCTTCTTAAACACATTTATGTTCATTATTGTTTAAAAAATAATCAAGTAAAAATTCACTTATGTATAGCGTAAGTAAATTGGGAAAACTTATTATGAAAGTAATCAACCCATTCCCCTAATCTTAACCATAAGCTAATCTTAGATTAAATGTCTTCGAGCGTAAGGCCATTGTGTAAGGAGTACGTATCTGTTGTTCCCAAAATCCTTTACTTGCATATATATGCACTTTTGGGCGTAGTTAATGGGCTTGAAAAGTCACACTTGAAAAAGTGAAGAAAGCATTGCAGTTATCGTCAATGAAAAACGCTACGAAAATATGATTATTTAGTTTTTTGACTTGGACGATATGTTACTTCAAGAAAATAATGCGACAAGCCGTACATCTCGTGACACACCAAATTTACTGCGTGAAAAGTTCAATGGTTGTCTGATGTCCAAAAATACTTATGCAAGCTTGTCACCAAAACTATGCGACATAACGCGATTGGCCCTTTTACTTTGGAATTATGTTGGATCATTAGCTTATTCCAATAAAACAAGAACTGTCAATGACCTCAATTTGTATTAACGCTGAAATAAGAGCAGGTTTTGATTGGAAAAGTGTTTAAAAATTGTTGTTTGAAAATTAAATTTTCACGGACATCCGGACGCCGCAATTTACATGAAATCATTTTCGAAAAAAAAAGTTACATAAACCAATATCGTTATATAAAAATGACCCTATATATAAGTATGTACAAATCAATGTATGCATATATAAGTATATATAGATATTACATTATATATATGTAAGTGTATAAATTGTTTGCTTTTTTTTGCTAAGAGAGAATATAATAATTAATTTTTACAAAATCATATGCAATCCGTTTGACACTTTATATGCATTTTATCTTTTTGCAGGTGATAAAACTCCACCCGGTTTTCCGGTAATTACTCAAGGTCCGAGCACTCGTGTTATTGAAGTTGGTCATACGCCAACCATGCAATGCAAGGCTGTTGGCAATCCCCCTCCTACTATATATTGGATAAAGAATCAAACTAAAGTCGATATGAGTAATCCACGTTACTCCATAAAAGATGGTGAGTGGAAAACTTGTAAAAGCCTATCCTTTGAAGCTTTTAGTTCGAATTTTACTTGACTACTAAAAAATATATATATATATATATATTAGTTGTACATAAAACGTCGGTCAGTAATTTCCGGGATTAAGAGAGAAAACAACATAGTGCCATATATATTTGCGTGAAAATGTAGAGCGATTCCTGTTGCGGGTTTTATGTTATTGACGTAAAGTGTTGTTGTTAGATTTTTTTTAATTGTTTCATATTTGCGGTCTTTATAATTTCACCTCCAAACCAACGAACCTGGACACAGAAATTTACAATCCCCGCTTGAGTGCAAATGCATGTGCAACATCATATTTGGTTGTGAATATTCTAAGGTGAAGGAATGTGTTACATTAGCCTTTAGGCGCCGGGGCAATTATCGATACGATTTATTATTGTTCTTTCCAACAAAAATTCTGCCGAAAAATCTTACCAACCCTTCAATCGAAGAAAAGAAGGAGTAAACGAATATCAAAAATTTAAGTGTCGAAGATTTTCGACGAAACTTTCTAAACATTGACATAAAAAGTGGCTTCAGCATCTCCGCAATGTTGGAGTCGATCTGGCCGTAACTGTTTGCCCTGCCTGCCTTCGCTACCTCGCCTGTTGAAAACGATCCTTGCGACCGTCTTTCTCCATTAGGAGTGCGAACTTAGACGTTTCCTTTTCATGGAAAGAAAATTCATCGTTCTCTGCACTAGTACCAAAATCCTACAAATTGTTTGATTTTTTTTTTTTTTTTTTTTTTTTTTTATATTATCAATTGAAAGTTGAACAGCTTTCCATATAGAGCTTGATACGAGATTATCAAATTTTTGCTAGCAAAATTCCTGCTTAGTTAGCCAAACCGTCCACATTCCCCAAATAAATGGAATATGTATCGTAAGCTGATACCAATTCGCCTACAAATTATGATTTGAAATAAAGGTCAATGCATTTTCACTCTCTCCTTAAATCTCCTAGTACTTTATGAAAGATCTCTTAGTAGGGATTCAAAAATTCGCCGTAAAGAACTCTTAGTAAGTGTTATAATATTCAGCGTAAATTCTCTCTGCATTTCTTACTCATTTTATTAAAATTTTTCCCCGAAAATTTTCTATTCTTGACAATTGCTTTAGTTTTATTACGCTTTTCATTTTGCCGCTCGAAACTTTCTTATGTATTATCTCATAGCAATGTTAAAGTTTATCGTTACTACGAGAATGTTAATTATTTTATGGTTAGTTTTCGATTTGCGTCACTCTTGTAAGGGTTAATCTTTAAAGTAGAAAAAAAAGGGAAAGGAAGAAAAATGTAAAGCAAAATAATCGTAATACAACCATGGACGCTTAAATCACTAGCTATAGATGAACAAGAATTACTCTTGTCGTTGCTACTTTTCAGCACTTTGTTTACTAAAACGCTGCATTTTAGCGGAAACTTTTTTAATCTTGTTTCAGCAAACTTGTTGTCATGTTTGTTCAATCTCTTTCCTTGTTGCCGTCGATCCAAAAAAAAAAAAAAAAAAACAAAATAAATAAATAAAAAATAAATTGTAAATAACTAATGATCTATTGTTATGTAAAGTATTGCGAAAAAGGAACTTAAAAAACTATGTTAATATATGAAAAGTGGGAAGGAGCAGATATGAGATTTATACTCATCTTGAGAAACTTAAAATCTCACTAAATAAAGCCCGGAAATAAAAATCATATATAGAATGTGCAGTAGTGTGCAACGAATGTAAGTGTTAGACCGCAATTTAACAAAATCTGAATAATTATTTCCATCAAATTTTAGCTCAAATGTGCACAACAGTGTGAAGCATTAAAGAAGTAGTGGTGAGATCCCGAAAGTGTTCTCAGCTTAGATGATTGGTTTTGTGTTATGTTAGTTATAACGAAATTTCGTGGTAAATAGGACAACAAGGAAGAAAGAAAGAAGTAGGATTCGTAACCGCAATCATTCGAAGTTAAAGTCGATCTGTCTAATATAACTGGAAAACTGAAAAAAAATGCCTTTTTATTGACTTAAATGACCCCTTAAATGGTCAAAAATGATCTCATACGCCAACTATAGGCATGGCAAAATTTGAAATGTTAATCTAAGGGCACGTGAGAGCGACTTTAAATGCGTTTTTCTTCAAACGCGGCCAGGAGAATAAGTGCCTTTTTTGCTCAAGTAAAAATAATGGTCAAAGAAGTTTTCTTTGAGGCTATCACAGTACGTTGCTTCCCTGCCAAATTTCCGATTCTCTCCTTAAACTTTAAACACAATCGTTCATACAATGAAATAGCTGAGTTAACAATGGAAAATCCGAGTAGAACACAAAACAACGCAATTGGCACAAAGGATGGGAAATTGTGGGTGTAGAGCTTAAATATTACCACCGCCACTAAAAATAAGTCAAGTTCACGTAATGTCATTGAACAAACTGCAAGTTCTGAACTTAAAGGAGTGGATCACTTCAGCAGTTAGGACAACAGCTGTAAGGGAGCGTCACGTTTCCCATAATCCTAGGCGATGTATAGGCCGCCATGTATACGTATAGTGCTTAGGTCATGCAATACACTTCGGCTCCAAACGTTACTTTGTTAAGGTTCGATATTATTTTGACAATTTATTACAATGGCAATCATGCTTCGTCGCTTACTCATCATTCCAGCAAATTTATTAAGCAAATTTTTCCTTTTACTCGATACATCCTTTCCTTAACATTCAACCAACCTGTTAGCTAAGAGAAAATTTATGCTAGCACTAGCTAAAGATTTACTCTTCGTCAATATATTTCTTCATATACTTATTGCAGTAAACAGACATTTCACATTTGATATGTTCGTTTTCTTAGTTGAAGCACTCAGCTCGCCTTACATCCGCAACAGTCAGTTTCTTATTTTAAATAAACGTCACTCGGTATATAGTCAGCACTCTATTCACGATCTTGCCATAACAGATGACATTGCACAACATTTATTTATAAAGAACTATCGAACTCTTAAAGGTAAAGCTGTCGTGATGTTAGCTGTGGCAGAACATTGATTACTCTGTCAAAGTGATAACAAAATCTTCGATAACATGCTTTCATTAATTATTCTTGTTTTACATTCTCCAAGGAATAATTTACCTAACATTTTACAAATTTCGTGCTATAGCAAGAGACAATCAACGAATTTTTCGCTTCGATTTTATTTTCTTCTCTCAGCCACCATTCTTTGAATTTATATTGTTTTTAAGTAATATTTTTATTTTTTATCCGACATTCCTGTTTTCCATTAATTTCAACTTGTACAGCATAATGCGCTGCTAGTGTACGTTTCTTATATATTCAATTAATAATTTATGTGTTTTTTTTTTCGCCCTCATACAACTTCTGTCTGTCCGAAATGCCTTTTCCAAAATATATCAAACTGCCTGCGTAACTTTATTGTAGGGGGAAGAAGAGGCAGGTTGTACGCTCTCGTTGCCGGGCTCATAGTGTTTCCATTAGTTTCTTCTTCCCCTTCAACTTTCTTCTTTAATCAGATTTATATTTCATGTTTGTTATAATAATCACGTTAACTACCGTCTCCATGCATATATTTGAAAAAAAAGCCAATTTGATCAATTAGCATAAAATCTGCAAATCCCAACAAGAAAACAATGATTTTTTCCTTTTACTTACTTTAAGAAGAATATTTGTAATAAATTCAATAGCAAGTCTCCTCATAATTGACTTAAAATCAATTTTGTACTTTTGAACACACACACAAATTTTATTGGGTTCATATATATTTTATATAATTATTTTTTCATTTGTAAAACCAATCCTCAAAACTGATATGAAACTTGTCGTCGTTCATTTCCAAAAAAAGTGGGAAAATATTCTTACTTATGAGTCGAACTTTTGTTTAACTTTTCTTCTGCATATATATGCCGTGTTTCATATTTCGCTTTCTTATGATGTACATAATCTTTTAAGTTCTTCTTGAAGACAAATTCCTATGCTATTGTAGTACATCAGATAGTAAGTTTCTTCTAATTTGTGTGGTATGTGAACATTTTTATCGTCTTCTGAAAGCATATAGATTTAATAATTCATTAGGACTTAAGTTTGACTTTCTTAGAAATAGTTTAATGCTTTCGTTTTGTTTGAGTCGCTTGTCCTTCCTATCGACCACCGAATGTGGGCGGCATATTCATTGTGTCGTAACGTTTGCAACATTCAGAAGGAAGCTACAAAGACCTCATAAGGTATAGATGTATATAAATTCTTGATCTTAAGTGATTTAAACACGTCCGTCTGTCCATTTCTGTGATTGCAAATATGAAGATACTGGCGTCATTTTTGGCCCTTGTTGTTGCGGTAGCAACTTATATAAAAAAATGATTATTATGCAAGGGTCGCGGTAGCGGCGGAAAAGATAACAACAACAGTCTCAATAAGATCGAAAAACAAGCCATGCAAACAAGACCGTCAAATACAATAGACATATCGATGAAAATGTTCAAATATATTAGTATTAGTGTAAAAATGGAAAAAAAGTCAGCCGCGTCCACCCAATATTATAAAGCATCAATATTTCGTATGTTTGTGTTTTTTATTTTTTTCGCGTTTCTAAAAGAAAAAATTGTAGCCGATATAAGAGATTCGACCGCAACCGATAATAATTAATTAATCTGTTTTATTTATTATGTATACAACATGTAAACAATATATCATGTTCGCAATTCAATGGATACCTTTTGGCTGAATTATGTCTTGTTCATGTTCAAACTGCAAAGTGAAAGCTTACTATGGGAAATTTGTAGTATGTTGAATGTATGGCACTCGAACCACAACCAGAATAATTGTACATATTTCCATGGTAAACTGCACATGATCACATAAGCCGACGATAGATGTAAAAGGCGCCGGAGGTGGTTGTCCGTTCTGTCCAGAAATGTGATTTCTGTAGGGAATAATAACATTCCGTCCGTTACGTCTATCGCGGATGCTACAAATAATATTGAAAACC